ATTGACTCCGTCATTGACACGCCATGTGTGCTATAGATGAGGGTATTCGTTTCCGAGGAAAGTCGATCCCCGAGATCCAGGACCTTCTTCCCAAGGCACCCGGCGGTTCGGAACCCCTTCCCGAGGGCCTTTTCTGGCTCCTCGTCACCGGCGAGATCCCCACTCAGGAGCAGGTCGCTGAGCTCTCCAAGGATTGGGCTGCCCGTGCCGCCATTCCCGAATTTGTTGAGGAGATCCTCGACCGATGCCCGCCTACTCTCCACCCCATGAGCCAATTTAGTTTGGCTGTGACTGCCGTATGTTTTTTGTCCGTGGTCTAACATGTTTTGATATTCACCACCGTTATATTTAGCTCAACCACAACTCCGCGTTCGCCAAGGCCTACCAGGATGGTGTGTCCAAGAAGGAGTACTGGGGACCTACATTCGAGGATTCCATGGATCTGTAAGTCCCATCTCCGTCACGACATCGGCAATGTTTTCCCTGATCAATGATCGACAGTATCGCCAAGCTGCCTAACATCGCCGGTCGCATTTACCGCAACGTCTTTGGGCAGGGTAAGCTTCCCGCTATCGATGCCTCCAAGGATTACTCGCACAACCTTGCGACTCTCCTTGGCTTCGGTGATAACGCCGCCTTTGTCGAGCTCCTCCGCCTCTACATCACCATTCACAGGTATGTCACTCGGCACGCGGCATCTCCGTCACATATTCTGACATGTTGTTAGTGACCACGAGGGTGGCAATGTCTCTGCCCACACCGGAAAGCTCGTCGGCTCAGCGCTCTCCGACCCCTTCCTGTCCTATGCCGCCGCCCTCAATGGTCTCGCCGGTCCCCTCCACGGTCTTGCTAACCAGGAGGTACTCATCTGGCTCCGCAAGATGCAGGCCCAGATCGGCGAGGATGCTACCGACGACGCTGTGAAGGAGTATGTCTGGTCTACGCTCAAGGGTGGTCAGGTCGTTCCCGGATACGGCCACGCTGTTCTCCGCAAGACCGACCCCCGCTACTCTGCCCAGCGTGAATTCGCCCTCAAGCATCTCCCCGACGACAAGCTCTTCAAGCTCGTCGGCCAAATCTACAACATTGTGCCCGACATTCTCCTTGAGGTGCGCTTTGCTGCCTGACATCATAGGATTGACTGACATTTATTATGCAGGCTGGCAAGGCCAAGAACCCCTGGCCCAACGTCGACGCCCACTCGGGTGTCCTCCTCTCTCACTACGGCCTCACGCAAATGCAGTTCTACACCGTTCTTTTCGGTGTGTCCCGTGCCTTTGGTGTTGCCGCCCAGTTGATCTGGGACCGTGCCCTCGGTGCCCCCCTCGAGCGCCCCAAGTCTTACTCCACTGAGGCCATCGAGAAGATCTTCCACGGCAAGAACTAGACGTGGATCGTCTGTGTTATTTGTACCCCCCTCCAGGAATACTAGCAGTAACGACCCATTTAATTTCACGAAGGATATGCGTAGATTCGATGTCGACTATAGACTTTCACATCGTACCTAATATATGCGAATACTATGCATGCAATTCCTTCGAGACCGACGAGATACTTGAAGCTATAAGCTGGAAGGGAGCTTGAGCTTGACCCCAAATTCAAGCAGCACTGCCACCGTCCCTGAACTGTATTCCACCCGGCCATGGCCTCCAGCCGCGCACCTGCTCGTCGTGGCGCCCCACCCTCACATATAACGAGCCAGCCAAAACCCACGATCTCAGTGGAAGCATGGGAAGCGAAAGCACCGCTTGGAGAGCTCGAAACACGTAGTATCGCTGCTCTCAAGGCAGCCAGCGAACGCACGCCTCTACCGTCGAAAGTGAGCCCAGTCCTCATCGCACTCGCTGACAAGTTGAACATAACTCTCATTACCAGTTCAGCTCAGATGAAGCCGGGCCTTCTTCTAGGCCAGATACCCCCCTCGCCGCCGTGCAGCGGAACTTGCGAGGTACTGGAGGAGCACCATCGAACTCTCGCCCGGGGACACCGCTCGCTGGATCGCGTTCCGCGGGCCTGGCGACACATGCGCTGCACCCGAAGCAGCCTATACAGACGCCGCAGCAGTTCTACGACTGGTTTGCGCTGATTGACAGGAGCGTCGCGTTGCTTGAAGTAACAGATGAGATTGGAGCGCGGCTGGAATACTTCCAGGAGCTGGAGCACGCGACGAGGATGCTCAATCACCCAGGAGAGTCGTTGGTGCTCCAGACGGACTTTTTATATATGGTCGAGCGTGTCGATATCTGTATTGACTACCTCAAAGCACACGTACGTCCCTATTCTGATCTCGTTCCTTCGACGCGTCTGACGTTGACGTCCGGATGCAGCGCCATTTCCGGGAGGCCGAAATATATCTCTTCCGGTATCAGCAGTGCATGACGAGAGCCATGACACTAATCAAGATGTACTTTGTAGGCTCTCTCCGGGCTCTCTCAGTCGACGTCTCAAAACGCTTGTCGGAAAAGGTAAGGAGGTAACCTTTTGTTTAACGATATCAGCACCTGACAGGCGAGGATACTTCTAGGATGTATCACCCACAGCTCAGATGCATCTACTATACACGCGGTTCAACACGGTTTCGACGCAACTTCTTCCTCTGCTCAGCGAATTGGAACGGCGCGCACGCTCTCATCCTCAGGAGCTCTCGGCGCTTCTGCAGGAATGCCATACTGCGTACTTTTCGGCACGCAAATCGCTCCTCGTTGGTAGGATAATGGAGGAGATCAGGGGATTGGATCCTACGCGAACAGAGTTGGTCGAGCTGGTGAGTTTCTGTTCTTGCTTAGACAGAGACGCAAAGCTGACTGTATGGGCGTTCCAGACGAGAGCTGGGTGCAGTTACCTGAAACAATTGTGCACAGATGAGTTTGAGTTGTATCGGAGCTTCTTCAGCTCTGGCGAAACCCAACTCTAGTACGCCATTCGTTGTCCATAGTTCCGCTGACTTTAACACTGCTTTTTCAAAGCCAATACCTTGAAAACCTCTGCGATCACCTCTATGACGATCTCCGCCCGCGCATTCTACACGAACCGCGCCTCACAGCTCTTTGCGAAGTCTGCACCGTTCTCCAAGCGCTCATGGTCCTTGACGTGTCATCCGTGCAGGATGATTCCGATGACGACTTTGAATCAAGTTCTCAGGAAAAGCAAGATACCTGGTACCCCACGCTCCGCAAGACCGTCTGGGTGCTTTCACAGCTGCACGACTTTGTGAAGGCAGGTAGCGCGACATCTTTATATCCAGCTGTTGGATTCACCGCGTGCTTCTTATAGCCAGCTATCTTCGAAGATATCGCGCAAGAAGCGATTAGCTTGTGCCGCCAATCTCTTGTCGCTGCGGCTGACGTTATGCGCGTCAAGGCCCCGCTGGATGCGCAGCTCTTCCTCGTGAGGCACCTGCTGCTTCTGAAGGAGATAACGCAAAATCTCGACCTTGCCCAGCGAGAGGGGCAAGCTAGCGGGAGCGGAAGTGGGACAGCAGATGCTGGAGGCGTGACGGGTGAGTTCGATTTGCTACATTCATAGAAGGGCAACTGATGATCTGTTTTTTTTCATTAGACACGCTGGCGTTGATGCTGAGCAAAACCACATCGCTTCTCCCAGATGCCCTTTTCGCCTCCCTTGGTATGCCGCGCGCGGAAGAAACCATCACAGAGGCAAAACATGTACGCTCAGGCTGTTGTTTTCACATTGCATGCTTATTGACATTCTACAGGGTATCGACCACGAGCTACGACGCGGTTGCGAAGCCGTCATCGCGTTATGCACAGATCCCATAACGCAGCCGCTACACGAATGGACGGTCACACCCGCCTTTTCACACACGGCAGCCAATTTGCCGTCCAAGCCAAAGCCTGCCGCGCGGGATGTAGCGACTGAGTTTGAGCGTGCCTGCACGACTGAGCTACGGGCACACGCAGGTCGCGTGAGGCTGTATCTGGAGGATGCGCGGACTGTCACGGCACGGGTGCTCCTTGAACATGTACGCGAGCGTGTTGGGGACGCGTATGAGGCGTTTTGGGAAGCTGCTGGGTCTGGGAGGGGTCCCGGAGAAGAGCTGGCGAGTGTTCCTGTGGTTCGAAGGCTGTTAGTCGATGCCTGTGTGTAGGTAGTCCTTTCAAGTTTTGGAGTGGGGCGGTTTGAAGCCGTCTTATGGTCACGGTAGGAAAACTGCTGACGGCCCGTGTAGCTCAGTGGTAGAGCATTGTACTTATGAGGATAACTGACCCATTGTGGGTATGCAAGGGTCTCGAGTTCGAATCTCGGCATGGGCATTTTTCAGTGCAGAAAGATTATTTTTCTGCGCCACACGAGATATTTCATCAAACAACAGGTAATGACATACATAGTGGGATTATGTCCATAATAGTGATCTTGGTGAGATTTGGTTACAGTTCTTCCCCTTGCACTTGCCCAGTGCCAGCTATCACCGACTCTACTAGGTGGCAGACATGAACCACTGACTGAACTGCTCATCATGGACTTCGGTTCAGCTGCTTCAACTCACAGCTTGAAAAGTTCAGACACATCTCATTTTTTACATATTACAAACTTCCTCCAAGCTTCCTCGTACAAAAATTGTGAGCTTCGCCACTTGTGGAAAATGAAAAATGGAAAAATTTGACTTAGACTGGACTCCACAATCTGCGTAGTTCAGTCGTGGTGCTATTCATAATTCAAGTTATCACAAGCGTCGCGCTCAGCACTGACAGCGACGAACTCGACCACCATGACGGTGTCGCGGAGTTTCAAGTTGCTGGCTGGATCAAATTTTCAAATGTGATTGATGCCTGTGCTGTGTACATATTATATTGCACCCATCCCTACCCATCCCCCACTGTCAGGCAGGCCCTCCAATTTGCTCTCCCGGTCCTCTCCAATCCAACTATCCTGAGGCTTATCCTACTACTCGGAGACAATCCCATTGTTGATTCCTTTTTTCTCCTCATTCTCGCATTGACCCTGACGACATCATTGAACGACATGATGATTAGAATGTGGGGGGCATAGCTCAGTTGGGAGAGCAGCAGACTGAAGTATTATGGTTTCAGACTCATCTTTCTTCTACTTAATTCTGAAGGTCCCGCGTTCAATCCGCGGTGCCCCCATTACCAGGATCCCTGGAATTTGCTTTTCTACTGCGAGACAATATTCATTCACGACGCGAAGGCGGCGGCGGGCTGGGAAGTGTAAAACATGGATGGAACAAGTCAAGATCAGATGGTGGAATTTGAAAGACATTGTACATGGGTGACGTTGGCGGTGTATGGACGCAGGGAATCATAGAAAGACTCTTTGAAAGAGTGACTGGCGTTTTGGAAGAGCTCTTACGAAAAGCAGCGTTAAAGTCGTTATATTGGGCCGGATTAATTGAAAAGATGCATGTGTGAACAGTGGGCAGGATAATAAATCATAGTGGATGATAGATGCGATGCAGAAAGTGTAGATAGAGGATGCGCGAGTTGTACAGAGTGGACTAGATGCTGGGCTAGGAGTTGAACTTGTAAGCGAGAGATTGACATGGGACGCGCGACGTTATATGCGTGTGCTCGAGCCGGCGGCAGCGCTTGTATGCTGCTGCAACGGCGCGTTCGCATTGAGATTCGTGAGGTTCTCCTCGTCATCACTGTCGTCCTTGTGCTGTGACAGAATCGCCGGTCCAGATTCCAGTATCACGTCGCCGTCCGAATCGTCCTCTTCATACTCCTCTTCATAGTACTCGCCCTCCACACTACTGCTGCCGCTCCCACTACCAGTGCCATTAGGCACCAGCACCCTTGTCCCTCCGATCTTCTTTACCACCTGAGGTGGGCCGAATGCCAGCACTCTATCTCCCTCCTCGCCGTCCTCCCCGCTGAGCTGAATTGCCCCGGTTCCAAGTTCTTCCTCTTCTTCCTCTTCAGCTTCTCTAACACTATCCACCTCTTTCCTGAACCAATACCTTAGCCCCACAGGTATCATGACGCCGACGACCACTGCTGCAAGTCCAAAGAAGTTCTTCCAGCTAATCAAATGGAAGTCGTCCGCACTCGTCATCTCGTCCAGACCGCCCCCAATCGTCGTATGGATCACCGTTACACCAAGTATGCCGAGCGCCGTCGAGATCCAAAACGGGACCAAGCCAATACCGACGTGCGGGCAAACAATATTGACGACCCAGTGCGGGGGGAGGGGCGCAATGCGGAGGACAATGAGGAAAGATATCATATTTTCCTTATTCGCTTGGATCTTTGTCGCCCATTTGTCTAGGTGGGCTTTCCACTTGGGGAGGGTGAGAAGGGCGGGGCCGAGCGCGGCGGAAATGAGGTAGCAGAGGGATGCGCCGGTGGCGACGCACGCGCAGGCGAGAGGGAGCGCGCGCGCGACGCCCCACACCGCGCCGCCGAGGATGGAGAGGTACATTGACCCAGGGAGAGAAAAGGCCTGGAGGCTGTGTGGGTAGGACACGGTCAGAAAACTTGACTTGGAATAAGGGGAAGGTGAAACAGACAAGAGATATGTGATCACGTAGCATATTACAATGCGGTAGGGATATATGTCGCGGTACTTCTTGAGGAGGTTGTTGAGGTCCTGCAGTTGTGCGAAGGACTTTGGGATGGTCAGCCGTGGTCGGTCAGCTCTGTCGTTAGGTTAGCCACTTGATTCCCGGAACCAAGATAATAAAATTAGACTCACTCTTCTAATGTAGGCAAAGCCAGCCACAGAGCAGCACCCAAGAAGAGGCTGCTCAGCACGAAGATGGCTGCCATCTTCAGCGTTGCATTCAAAATTACTTTACGGGAATTGGGCCGCGAGGGAGAGTGAGGAAAGTTTGCAGTTCCATAGCTGGGAGTTGGGGCGAGAAGGGGCGAACGGTCGCCTGCAGACAATACAGTGTCCAGCGTGTATGTCGATTGGTTTTGGTGGTATGTCGGTATGTATGGCAGATTTGGCGGAGGCATAGTGGTGGTGGTCCAACTCTTGCCATCGCCTCATTCTGTAACCGCAGCACATGTCAACCCCTGATCTAGGGTTACGCCGGTGTTGTCACCGACCCACATCCACCCACTTTCTGGAAATCGTAGACTATACTTGCTACTGGCAGCTGCCATTGTTTTTCGCAATAGAAAGTAAGACCCTCGAGCTCCTCGACTGAACTATGTCCATCAACCGCTCCTCGACTGAACCCATAGTCCAGACTAGTTGACGTCACTGATGAGGGACGTCGTGCAGTACCAACGTTCAATACGTACACTTACTTACATAGGCCGCGCTCAGCTTGCCTTCAGCATCGAACGTTTATGTAAACCCCCCATGCACGGGTGAAAACGATAACCTTCCTTCAATTTCAGCACCCCTGTCGCAACACAGATCCTCCCCGGTAGCGCGCAACGCCTGCGAAAAAAGTGTGACCGAAAAACTGGACCTTCCTGATTAGGACTTGCCTCCGAAACCTGATCTTGTTCTGTCGCTTTGGCAAATGCAACATGCAGTTTACAAGCGCTACACGTCGGATGGGCAAGGTTTAGGGGTGTTCGACGTCGATAAAGTAGCTTAGTCAGCGAGATAATTGGGCTTTCGCAGTGCTCTCTGCGACACTCTTGTACAGGCACAGAAA